TATTTGCAACATTTTCTGCACCTAGAACAGTAAATCCTTCTAGTGATTCTGGTCCTAATTTACGTTTTTTGTGTTGTGATTCGTCAATATTATCATTGTTTTGTGTAATAACTAAAATTTCCACAGTTTTATCTAGAAAATCATCATTTATATTATCAGGAACATTTATAATAGAAGCCTTTATTTTTCGTTTGATTTCTCTTGATTGTAAAGTTCGTTGTTTAGCTTGTTTAATTTGAGAGATCTTTTCTTTCTGTTTTTGACGCAACTTTTTGTTTTCTGAATCTTCTTAAGAACCTTTTCTAATTTATCCTGTTCATTTTGAATTTCTTCTTGCTGTCCATCATCGTGCCTTAAAAATACATTTTTTTCACTGTAATAATATCCTAATAACTAATATTATAACTTTACCTGTTAACCACAAACAATTCCATGTTCACTATATATTTTTATTTTTTAAATTTTGAAAAATAAAATATGTAAACTTAACCTTATAAAAACATGTTTCAGTTTCCCCTGTCTGTTGTCATTTAATTTGACAAGTGAGTGTTAAGACTTCACAATTTTCATAGTGATGATGTATTTCCGGTTAATTTACGGGATAATGGTTATTTATCATATATTATTAATTTATCTATGATTATTTATTCAATGTACAGATAAACAGTATTAATCACATGTAATCTCTTATTTGGAAATATGCCAAAATAGTAAAAATAGCTGCAAAATGACTGTCAATCTACGATATTATTTTTATTGTATGCTATAAAATTATTGTATACTAAAAATTGCTTCATATTTCCGCTTCTGCGTATAAGATCGACCCTCCCATTTTAATTCGTTTCATTTGACCGGCAACAAAGAAGGGGTGCCATTTTGTTTTGTGTTGGCGTTGAAAGGTGATGGAAGAGACAAATTTTACATAAAAGAAGTTAAACCTCTCTTTTACACAGTGTTGTGTAGTTTTAAAGTATGTTTTTTTATTTATTGTTTATCTTATTGTAGTTATTTTGGTGGAATATTATGAAAACAGTGTTTTACTTGTGTTTTTAGGAAAGGAGTGCCGTGTCATCCACTGTGTCAGTTAATTGGTGTGTGCAGTGCGTATGATCGCCTCTGGAAGGGACAAAATAACAGTTAGAATTCATAACATGAAAAGAAGTAGTGATAGGGACACTCCACCACGTAGCAAACGTTCTCGTTCTAGCATGGGAAGGTACGACGACAGCTCCGATGAAAGGATAACTCCGGATAGAGTTCGCCGGCGGGGAAGCCGTGGACGCAGTCCTAGTCCACGGGCAAGATACGTTTCGCCCCATCGCGATGACTATATGCGCCCACCAGAGCGCTCGTATCCTTATAAAGTTTTATGTGTTAGTGCTTTGCATCCCAAAGCCAGCGATGAGGTTATCAAAGACACTTTATATAGAGAATATAAAAAATATGGTGATCTTAGTATTAGAGTCACTCATGATATGGATGAACGTGTAGCGTATGTTTGTTTCCGAAATCCTGAAGATGCTCGTGATGCAAAACATGCAAAACCTCGTATAATAATATATGATAAAATAGCTTTAGTTGAAGCTGTCTATGAGGTTTCCTCGATCAGCAGATATTTACAGAAGTCGACCACGTTCAATAAGCCCTGAGTATGACAGACATTACTATGCTAGATCTCCTGAAAGAATGCGACCTGTAGATAGGTATGATAGGGGATATGGGCCACCGCCTGGTGTCCCAGTCCATCGCGAATATAGACGTGAAGCAATGCCTGCACCACACCACGATTACCTTGCCCGACCTCCTATGCACCATGGCCCTCCCCATATGGCTCCAGTCCACGGTTATGGACCTCCTAGACAACATATGCCTCGTCCTCCATTTGAACAGAAGGAGAATAAAAAGGATAAATTTCCCAATTATTTACACCACATACAGCCTGAAGATGATCCTTTAGCCACACGCACACTCTTTGCTGGTAATTTGGAAATAAATATTACTGAAGAAGAACTAAGAAGGATTTTTAGTAGGTATGGAGTTGTGGAAGATATTGATATTAAAAGACCTCCACCAGGAACAGGTAATGCCTTTGCTTTTGTAAGATTTAACACTCTTGATATGGCTCATAGAGCCAAGGTTGAATTATCTGGTCAATATATTGGCAAATTTCAATGCAAAATTGGATATGGAAAAGCTACTCCAACTACAAAAATATGGGTTGGTGGTTTAGGACCATGGACATCTATAACACAATTAGAAAGAGAATTTGATAGATTTGGTGCAATTAAGAAAATTGATTATGTTAAAGGTGATAACCAGGCTCTTATTCTTTACGATAGCATTGATGCTGCCACAGCAGCTGTGAAGGAGATGAGAGGTTTTCCCCTGGGTGGACCAGAGAGAAGATTAAGAACAGATTTTGCTGATGTAACACCAGGAGTTACATACAGACCAAAACCTCCTTATGCTTCTACAGAAGATTATAGAGCTAGAGAAGTAGAATATGATTATGATTATGAAAGGGATCCATATAGAATGAGACCATATCCTGAAAAAAGAGGGGCCAGTAGAGATCCTTACAGGTACCCCGAAGGAAGAGAGGATGAGTGGGGTAGAAGCAGAGATCCTGAATTTGAAAGAAGACGGTCTGGATCAAGAGGATTTGATAGATCTAGGTCTAGATCACCAAGAAGATCTCCAGATTCAGATTCTGATGGTGGTTCTCGTAGAGCAGGTCTACTAGCATCTAGTCGTACTTTACCAGAAGTAGCTAGAAAATGCACTACTATATGGCAAGGAGCTTTAATACTAAAAAATTCACTGTTTCCTGCAAAATTCCACTTATTTGATGGAGACACTGATATAGTAGATAGTCTAATGAAAGATGAAGATGGTAAACACCAATTACGAATCACCCAAAGACTGAGACTGGATCAACCGAAATTAGAAGATGTTCAAAAGAGAATATCCAGTGCTAGTTCACATGCTATTTTCTTGGGACTAGCAGGTTCCACTGCATCAGTGACTAATGATGATGCTACAGTTCAAACTAGACCTTTGAGAAATTTAGTATCATATTTAAAACAAAAAGAAGCTGCTGGAGTTATTTCCTTACTCAACAAAGAGACTGAAGCTACTGGGGTCCTTTATTCCTTCCCTCCTTGTCAGTTCTCCACAGAGTTATTAAAACGTACTTGTCCTAATTTATCTGATGAAGCGATAAAGGAAGATCATCTTATAATAGTTGTGGTACGTGGTGGCACTGCTTAGTATTTTTTATGAAACACACTAATTTTACCCTTTTGACACATGTAAGAAAGTATAGTCATTATATTTTTTAATAAGTAATGCTGATAGTTTTCAAATATTTTGCTATGATAATCATATATCCAGTTTTTAAATAATATCCTCAAATATAAAATAGTAAATTTTACCAGCTGCAAGTTTTTTTTGTTTATGTAATATATTGTATGTAATTAGAATCAGTCATAAAGTATGTAATATTTTTAACTTCAATTATTTTCATTCATTAATTTTATTTTTCTAATCAAAAATTGATAAATATGGTTTTGATATCTGTTGAGAAGTTTATCTGTGTAACAGATGTTTTATCTTTATAATCTATACATTTAATCTAATATGTACAAGTCTTAACATTTGTACATATTAGAATTTGAATAGCCCTTTTTGGAGTTCAGTGTTCAATTATTATACAAGGTATATACAGTCTATAATTGGAAACATTTTTCCTGCTAGTTTGTTCCAATGAGACCAATGTGGTTATATAATGCTAATAATATATTTTACACCAATTCTCACATTTCCAGTTGATGTACATGTGTTTGGTTGATTTGTTGAACAAAAAGATATTCAGTCAAATATGAAGTTATTAACAAGGTTCACTCATAAACAAGATTACACATTTCACAGTAGATATATAATATGATTACATTGAATTCAGTTTTATAGACTAACTTAACTGTTAATTACTATTTAACTTTGAATAAGCCACAATTAAAGATAAAAATATGTTTATTTACGTTTCAATTCCAAAGTGGAAATTGAAACGTCAATAAACATATTTTTATCTTTAATTGTGGCTTATTCCCAGTTAAATAGTAATTAATTTAAAATGCCACAAGAAAATAGCTTCAAAACAATATTAACTTAACTGTTAATGCACACTATTATTTATAACTACAAAATACCAGTTGTAGAGGCTTGCCTAAAATTATAAATGATTTGTTTTTGTATGTGTCATTAGGATCTATTGAAGAAGTTTCTTTATTCAAAAATAGGAAAAAACGTAATACATACAAAATTAATCAATTTGTAACATTCATATATAAGATAAAAATAACAATTACACTTAAAATATAGTATCTACACTTATTAAAAAATTTATAAAATAAAACTATTGAGGAAGCTTATTAAAAAGATTAAAACCCTTAAACAACAAAGAGTTTCTTGAAGCTGTCCTTTTTGTTTTCACAATGCGTAAATTGCATTTACCTCGAGTAGGATAATTGTGAATATCACAATTCCGTGTAATAAACTCACAAAAGTAAGCAGGGGCAAATTATTTAGAATTTTATAAATGAACACCATAGTAAGGTAAAAGACCCTTTGTTGAACTAAAACCCACTGCAGCATGCCAAGCATTATTGCTATAGGTGTATATCTGTTTCCACCAAGAATGATTCTCATTCCACAATTTTGTAATTTTTGCAACTGGGCCTATTGATTTAAATTGAAGAGAAAAATAACTGACGAGCAAAAATCGAAGTGAGGTTGAATAATTGCATTAAAAACTATAACTTTAGTTGAAATTGACAAATTTTTTGATATTCTTGAAAAAAAATTTAATTTTTTAGAAATCTTTTTTAATATGTAATTAAAATGGTCATGAAAACCAAGTTATTTAATTGTTGTGATGATTTCTATTTTTTCATTGTCAATTTTAAGATTAATAGTAATAATATCAATCAATAATTTGAGTATTTGTATTTAGTTGTTATTATCATAGCCTTTGTCTTAAGTTTGAATCAAAACATGCAAGTAGGGTGTCATCTGCATACAAATTAAAGAAATCACATTTAACAAACAAGTTAATCTCATTTAAATACAATATAAACAAAAGGGGTCTTAAGACACTACCTTGAGGTACCCCAATATTAACACTAATTGCAGAAGAAGTAATACCATCAATCCTCACTGTTGCTTTCTATCCAATAGGTAATCTTTAAACCATTCAAGAACATTTCCTCCAATAACAGAGCCTTCTAATTTAGTGAGAAGTATATTACGATCAATAGTTTCAAACGCTCTTTTTAAATCAAGGAAAACTACTACTAAATAATTATCATTGTCCAATTCAGACCTGAGTTTACAAAGTGAAAGTTGCAGTGTAGTTTCACATGAATACTTTTTGCGAAAACCTGACTGAGTATTCATTAAGATTTCATTTTTATCAATGTAATCATGACTTGATCATATACTACCAATTCTAATAATTTCTCAAAGGGAGGAAGTATATTTATAGGTCTAAATTCATCCGCCTTAATAGTATTATTAACTTTCTTAGTTTGACCACAAGTTACAAAAAACTCTTTTAATATTTTGGAGTTTAGTATTTCATTAATGTTACTCCTATTATCTAACAACTTAACCTTGACTGCCAAGTCACTCAGTGACAGTAACTGAAATTTATGTATACTAGGATACAAATTCTGATTATCATAACTCCATAGTTCTTCAGAGTCTATAGTTTCAATAATTTGCTGAATACTAGAGACGAAATACTCACCAAACTGATGCATTATTTCAATTTTGTCACTCAGAATGCATACTGATTCTGACATTAAATTCAATGTGATAAGGGAATTTTTGACAATTATTGTTAATTAGTGTTTTTAGCGTTTTCCACATAAGTCAGAGTTATTTTTATACCTATCGATTTTATCAAAATAATATTGTTCTTTTTGCTTTTAACATATTGTATATCTATTGTATATAAATACATATTAATGCTCGCTACCTTGGGCTTTTGGAACGAACATAATTTTCTCATGGAAAAATTCATGTAGACATTATATGAGAAACATTCTCACAAAAAAAATAGGTTCCATTAAAAAATTTTATTTTTTGAAAACTATTAGCATGGGCTTTACTTTTTTTATTTATACTTAGAATTATCATTTATTTTTTCTTATGCTTAAGATATTTTTACTATACTTTTTAATTAAACAGTACTAGGAATGTAGGACTAAATTTAATTTTCTCTACAGTAGCAGTTAGATAAAAATTTCAAAGAGAAGCATATACAAGGCAAACAATTGTTCTAATATTCAGTTCATTTCAGGAGATTGGTGATCCACGATAAACAAATATAGAATTAGAGCTGTTAAAAACGTAATGTATTTCCAAATGTTCTAAGGATTACTGTAAAAATGTGAAGTGGAAGTAATAGCCTAAGTAATCAGTTCTTTCTCATATTTGACAATTTTCTTTGACTGTTAAGTGGATTAAAGATATACTTTATATTAATGTGAAAGAACTGCTTTCATTTTTGAACAAAGTGTTTTTAAAGTAGTGATGTGTAGTTTATATATCAGTAAAAAATGTAACTACATCTTAAAATGGCCATTTGTGATTTTGGTGTTTAGTTGACAGTGTTAATTTATAAATTTCAATTATTCCACTATGGCATGATTGTATTTTACAACAAGTAAAATATTGTGATTCAATGTAATTCATACTGTGTTGTGAAATAGATAGTTCTTTCCAAAATCTGTGTTTTTGTTTGAGTGTGTGGAAAAAGAGAGGTTAAGTGGATAAAAGATTGTGAAAAATGTTCTCTTGGAGTTGTTACTGGGTGATAAACAATAAAGTGAACATTTTTCAAAGCAAGATTTAAATTGGTGAATAAAGATGAAGCTGTTGGTGATTAAGTGATAATGGTGAGTCTCATAAAGATAAAGTTAAGTTGAAGCAGTTGAAAGGTCTGTAATTTTTTATTCTGACTTATTTTTCTGTTTTACTAGAGACATAAATATAATTTTGTCATATTTTTCATGATCTAAAAAAAAAACAAAATGAAAAATTTATTACAGTCTTACAAATGGATGAAATGTGGTCAAATGATCATATAGCAACTATTTTTATTAGTTTTATCAATCAAGTCTTAGGAATTATTCTTCATGTACCATGTCCTTTCAGGTGTAATGGTGACACGTTGGTTACCATCATAGCTATCAGCTACTTAATAATTTTTATAGAATAGTGCTATTGTTTCTCTTATGACCTAATCCAACTTTTACACATTATCATTCTTTCTTTACAACCCTGTGTGGGTTGTACCATCCCCAATATTTTTTCTCTAGTTGTCCCTTTCCATTGCATTCCTCTGCAAAGCATATTTCCATATTTCTTTTGTATGTATTGTTGTTATCCAGGAACCCTATTCTGGATCTTCTTCTCTGACCATTGATTCTATCAAGGATCATTTTTCTAGCTGGGTCAGTTTGTTCCATCATATATGGTCATATCTTAATGTATTTTCAATATATGGTTCCTGATATATTCTCATTCTCCATTGTCATTTACTCTTCCATAGATATATCTTAATACTTTTCTTTCAAAACATCCTAACATGTTTTCATTACTTTTTGTTTCTAGTCCAGGTTCTGAGGTCTCTTATATATGCACAATATGTTTGTCTGATGGCCAATTTGCATTTGCAGCGATTGTTCCATTGTTCTTGGAACTCATTGATTTTATTACTAACTCGCAACTTTAACTGTACTACTGGTCTGTTGAGATTAGAATAACTTATATAGGCTGAATTATTTATTGCAGTTAATTTAATTCATACATTCTATACTGAACCTATTTGTTTGTTTTGTTTATGAGGTTTATTTCAAAGTAGCTTTCCCAATTATTGAATGGTATAGGAAATTGTACTATATAGACTTTCTGATCACTAATCAATTTCTTATATATTTGCTGTGTAAAGTGTACAGAAATTTGAAGAGTCGAAAAGAGAAGAGTAGAAGTAAACCAAGTTCTTCATATGTTATAACACATTAAACATGAAATCTTTAAAATTTAATTGAAAATTTACACCTGCTTTCTTTGGAATGCATGATGAACAAAATTAGTAAGTCAATATTTGAAAAGCATTTTTTAAAAACACCTAAAAAAATTATCTACAACTGAAAACAGACCAAATCAAGTTTCAAGATAATCGAATTTTAAGGACTGCCACTGTT